GTATTCCATATATTATCTTCTAGTATACCGCAGCTGGTACAATGGTAGGTGGAAGGAATGAGATCCCCTGCAAGATCCCAAATACCCAGTGTTCATCAGCAATTACACTCCGTAGTTGCCATGAAACCGGAGTTCCTTTGTGGGTCCTGTGGGCTGCTGTTAAGGAATGACAAATTCAGCTGCCATCATATTGGTATATCGTGAATACTGGAATTTCCTTAATTCTTGTATCTGAATTTATTCCATGACATGGGTATATGGTGAATAATAGAGTTTCCCTATTATAGTAACTTAATTTAAGTTCCTCAACAGCAACCCAGTCATGTCAAGTCAGAGCGAGATCTCAGGCTTCCGCAGAGGTAAATTCCATAGGTCAGCGAGATCCAAGTCGGATTCCTGCGAGGGCGAGTTATGCCGGAATCCTAAACATAAGCATTTGATCGGGCTATCGTCTAAACTTCTAGTATCCCCCTTAATAACCCCTACAGTCGTTCCTCATATAATGCGTATATAACCCCTTCAAGGAGTTAAGACTGTAGCTCAATTGGGCTTGTAGGTCGTTTATTATAGGGTATATACAAGGCATAACGACCCTAGAGTTAAGGGCACAACTGAGGGCCCATAGATCCAACCTTGAAAGCCCTCGGCACCAGGGAGACAAGGTGCCCTTGCTTTGGTTAAGGTTCAGGGTTTAGGCTTTAGGGTTTAGGGTTTAGGGATGGTGTTGCCGGCAACTTACTATGCACAGTAAGAGGGCTTTGGTAACTCCAAACGCTATACAGCGTAGTTTAAAACAATTTCAATTCGCAATTCAAGGTTACTTTTGTACTATTATCCATATAAACCACCATTGGAGGTGAGGTCGGGTGAGGTCGCTTTAAATTGACCAGCCTATAACAAGGACCCGTTAAGGAGCATACGATAGTCAAAGGGTCCTGACTTTGAGGGCTTGGGGAACCAAACTTCCCCACAGCAGTCCATGTAGTAAGGCAAAGACACTTCAAAGTTGAAAGCTGTTTCTTGTTCAATGTAGAATTTTGCGGAAGTCTGGGGCTTGCCGAGCTAAATAAAAGCTAAGAATCTATATAACCCCTATATAATCCTACATAACCCCTATAGAACCCCTACAATTGACAATCCCTATAGCTTCCATGTGGTTTTCCATTATTTCACGCGTAGTTTCTTGCTCCCCTAGATCGTTGCTTCCTGTCCTCGCCGGAGGTCCTGGACTTGCACGAAAAGAAGATCCTGGCCCTTTGGTTTTGGGCTGGGGTCTAGGTTCTAGGCTTTAGGGTTTAAGGTTTAGGGTTTGAGACCCGAAACCAAAGGACAATAATGATCCCCAACCCCAAACCCTGAACCTGAACCCTCTACCCAAACACAAAACTCCAAACCCAAAATCCTCTAGCAGCATCAGAAGCAGAATGCGTACCCTAAACCCTGAAACCCTAACCCCCTAAACCCTAAACCCTAAACCCTTAAACCCTAAACCCGAAACCCTTAAACCCTAAACCCTAAAACCCTTCAACCCTGAACCCTAAATCCTGAACCCTAGCGCATCATTTGGGCCCTTGCTGGCCTGTTCGGGCACTCGAAGCAGGAGCGATTCTCGCTCTTCATCCGCAGCTTCCTCGGCTTTTGAGCTGCTCTTAAGGATCGTTTAGGGTTTAGGGGCTGAGGGTTTAAGGGTTTAGGGGTTTAGGGGTTTAGGGGTTTAGGGTTTAAGGGTTTCAGGGTTTAGGGGTTCAGGGTTTAGGGTTCCCCTTTTCTCCTCCATCCAGCAGTCAGAGAAGAACGCTTTAGAGCGAGATTAGGAATCTCAGGGCTTAAGGTTCAGTTTAGGGTTTAGGGTTTAGATGGGTTTAGGGTTAGGGGTTCCGGGTTTAGGGCCGTCTTGAATTCTTGGAATCCCATTGCATGTGGTTGCACTCCAAAATACTGGGGCCAGCACCTGAAAAATGTGTTTCGGACTTCGTCAGGCACGAAGCCCTGTCGCAAGGTTGCTTGTACTTTGAAACACGTGTAGCCAGAAGGCTGGTGACTGTCTGGTAAATAGAATACAAGAATGGGAAGAGGAACATATCTTCCTCAGATGTCATGATATGCGCATATTTAAGAATCAGGTGGAAAAGAAGATGGACATGTAAATGGAAACTGTGAGCATAGACTGGTTTCTAGGATGTTCAATAGACAATGCCAGCTCAGCGCCAGCTCAGCTCAGTGCAGATTAGGCATGGGACAGTCTCGACTCTTGCGTATAATGTAGAAGCCTCAGTCATCACCAACATTCACCTCTAAGATAGCTTTAAGTGAAAAAGCTCATCATTTGGGTCACCACCTTGCCATATCAAAGACCTCCCGAACCTCTCATCACGCGCAGCTTTACGGGTTACCGACTTCGGTGGCAAAACCTCCTCATGGGGACCCAGAAGGGACGCTTAATCATTGGTATCCCCATATCCACTGATCAGGCACGGCAGCAGCAACGGCCTTGTCATTGACCTTATTCAGCGTTTCCTGGCAGATGAGCTTAGCAAAGTCTGGCATCCATACGGCAGTACATGGGTAGTTCCCAAAATTGATGTCCAATTTCGGTACCCCTAAATAACAGGTGCCACAATCTTGTCTATGACCACAAGGGACCTATAGTTTCTAGGAAAATCCACATGGCAAATCTTGTTGACTAACTCTGCGCTCTTAGGAACATCAGATGCTTGCTTCACAGTCAAGACATGATTCTAGAGATCCAAACACTTCTCAGATGAGTAGCGTTTTGTTTGGTGGTTGAACCAAGTAATATCGTATTCCTTATATGAGATACTATACCCCAAAAGGAGGATATAATCTTACTCTAAATCCACAAATACAATACTTCTCAGATGTGAAACTATAAGAGCTGCGTGCACGTGCACACGCGGCTCTGAAGCAACCTGAACATCTCTCAACGAGCATGATGCAACAAGAACTGGAGGCCTTTCTGCTGAGGTTGGACCTATGGGCCCCTAGTGTGGTAGGGACCCATGTCAGGGACCCATAGTAAACCCTAAACCCTAAACCCTAATCCCTAAACCCTAATCCCTAAAGTAAGG